ACAGCCATGGTGTTTGTCTGTCTGTCTTCAATAGAGAGAGAGAGAGAGACCTCAATTCCAAGAATTCACACAGAAAAAAGAAACATGTTTCCACAAATACCCTTCTCCTGCTACAAGGAAAAAGAATCCCACCTTCATCATCACCACCACCATCATCGTCCATCTTTCTTCAACAACAACAGCAGCAATCAATGTATTAAAATTAATAATCCTATATTGTCACACCCGAAATACGTGGGCTTTTTGGGCTTTGTTTGTCTTGGTCAGAGTTCTCTTTCACAGAGAAAACAGGAAAGCTCTAAAGAACCTTCCCAACCCCCCCATCCACCCTAGTCCTCACTCGCCACCACCCCCCTTCCTTATCTCCCCTATCTTTTCTTTATTTTCTCTCCTTCTACGCCTCTCCTTTCCATCTTATCTTTTCTTCCCCCTTTCTTTCTTTCTTTCTCTCTCTATTTCTCTGATAATCTCTCTTGATTGAGTTGCGATCTGATGATGATGTCCAAGAAGATGAAAAGGGTATCCGAGGAATCATCGAGTTATGGTGGGTATGAGGACGCCAAGACCCTGATGAAGCACCAGGCTCTCTTCCAGGACTTTCAAGAACTGGAAAAGGTTGGATTTTTTATTTTGTTTGGTTTTCTCTTCGATCTATCTATGCCCAGATCTGTTCTTGATTTTGGTTTTCTCTTTCCACTTGATTCTTGATTTGGGGTTTCTTTGGATTTCGAGCTGTGTTTTATGAATTCTTCGGGGGGCTGTTTGAGACAATTGGATGTCATGGTTTAAACCCAATTTCATGACTAATTTGCTGCTTTGAAATCAAAGACTCTGCCTTTTGTCCTCTTATGGTGGATTTATATGAACTATAACTGTTTTCCCCTATTCTTCATCTATGTATAGCACTTGGTATGTTTTAATTCACCATGTTATTGTATAAACTTTGATAGACTTGTTTCTAGTAGCTGAAAATCCAAAGCATTTTTCATGAGGTCATTTTTTTGTTTTTCTTTCTCCTTGATTTTATTTCTATATAAAAAGAATTATTTGATGCCTTGCTTTGTCCATTCAGTTTGGAAGTCTATAAAGTAACCAAGTGCTATTCAATGTTCATAGGAAACCAATGGCTTAAGAGAAAAATTGGAGGACTTCAGAAAGCGGAAGCTGATATTACAGGCTGAAGTTCGGTATGATCTTTTATGAACTCTTCATGATATTTCATCTTTTCTTATTGACATTTAGGAAAAAGGATTTGTTGATGAAATCATGTTCATCTCTAATGGACTTTCACAAAATCTTTTTTTTAAAGTTCTAAACGGCCCGGCCTACTGCCTAATTGGAGATTAATTAAGCTTAGACACAAGTTTAGTTAAACCAAGTTGGAAATACCTTAACTATGGATTTGTTTTTAATTTTTGCAGATTCTTACGAAGGAGGCGTTCATACCTTCTGCAAGTGAAGTCTATGGACAGCCCGGAAGAGAACAAGCTAGAAACACATTTGAAAACCGGGCCAAAGAGCACGAGGCCCAACAAGAAAGATACGGGCCCGCGCAAACTACCCGGACCTCGCCCAAAACCAATGGCGGGAGTAGTCACAGGGAGAAAGGAAACTACTCCACCAAGTTCAAAGCAGCATAAATGGCAGAAAAGTAGCAGTGGTGGGAAGGAACCAGTTCTTGCTGGTTCGAGTTCAGCTCCCGAATCTATTGATTTGAACCGCAACGACAGATTGTTGTACGGCGGGAACAGTGCTGGCCCTCGGGTCCCACTTTTTGATTTAAACAAGGAGAGCAGTCTCAGCTTGAAAGACGTCTCGCCTCCCTCTCGGGTCCCCTTTGACTTGAACGAGATATCGGTAAAGACCAAACAGGCTCTTAGCATTTCCCTTAACTATTGTCTTTATACCCACATTGACTAAATATGAATCGATAAACCTCCTTAATAACTACTCCCTCCATTCCATATTAACTTTCTTGATACATTGAGAAATGGATGAATGTAGACATTAAATATGAGGAAGCTTCTTAGTACATAAAATATGTCCTGGGGCTACAACCACAAGCGTGGGCTTTTAGTTGAGCTGAATCTTTAACAGTATGACAGAGTAACAACTAACTTTTACGTTTGCATTTGTTTGTTTGTTGTTTGACAGATGGAGGAAGAACCTCAACCCAGGTGGAACTTTGAACCAGCAAGTGTAGCCGAGGAGAGCGCAAGGAGTTTGATGAGAGGTGGGGGTGGGAACGAAGAGCAGCAGGGTGGGGATTTGAGGATATCGCTGTGTAGGAATGCAGCAGGGGGAGAGGGGACGTCTCGCGCGAGGAAGCCGAAAATATCATGGCAAGATCCTGTTGCCCTTAGGGTCTGATCATCTCCCTCTCCACAGGACAAAAAAAGAAAAAAGATGTCTTTTTTTTCTATATATAAATGATTATATATAGCACAGTATGTTGTAGTAGTGTGTTCTTTGCCTTTTTCTCTTTAGGAAATGATACGGAGTAGTTTGGAAGATATAGTTCGGTTGTATATGTATGTGTATTCATGGGGGTTTGGCATATGCAAGATCTTGATCATTGGGAAAAGCACCAATTTACCCTATCCTGTGTATATTATTACCACAGTAGCATTTTCAAACCAGCAAAATCACTTTTATAAAATACTACGGAGTACATGTGTTTCAATGTTAATGTCCAATTTGATTGTGCAATTAAACTAGACTAGATGAGCCTTAATTATTAGTATTAAATAAAATTGCATTGCATATCACTAAAAAATGATTTAATTAGATTTACATCTTGTATAATATTTTTAAAATTTATTATGCATTGTTATATTTATTCAATTGATCAAAAAATAAAATTGGACAAACACATTATGACAGAGGAAGTACCATGTTTTTATGCACTAATTTTAGTTTAATTTCAAAAAGTAAAGAAACAAGATTATTTTTAAACAAAGGTGGAAAGTACCAGGACACTTTGCTAGGAAAATTTAAATTAAAGAATAATTAATTACTCTTCAAAATTAATTTTTCCTTGCAAAGTGTCCGGGCTCTATTCAGACCTGATTCAAACCAATCCCTTGCCAATGCTATTGACAACTGGACCATTCTGCTGGCCTTTTATAAAGAAGATTTGTTTTTGTTTAAACTATGATGTGGGAAAGGACAACAACAAACATGCAAGATTTGGTCTCATCAAGTTTGCTGATCTCTCTTTCTCTCTTTTGTGTTCTTGGGTAATGCATAAATTTGAACCAAACACAATTAGAGTTAAAAAGTTTCAGAGAAATAAACGCTGCAATCTACTAACAACACAAACAAACAAACAAGCAAGCAGCCAGCTTGGACCTGTGTTTCTTTCCCTGGTAGTGTTCCTTCAGAGACAACTAACTCGCTCGAGGCAGCCATAGTTTGGCAAAGCTCGCAGCCCCACTGGATTTTGGGTTTCTTGTCGACATCTGGCAGCTCCTCGGTAACCTCCTCCATCTCGCGCTTCGCCCCACTGGACTCTGCTCCATCATTGGGTTTAGCCTGCAAAGTGGAAAATTACCCCAAAGGGTAGTAGTAGTAGTAGTAGTCCATTGTCCACTTCTGACACATTTTAACCTTTGGAAGTCTTAGGTAATGTACACACATTGTAACCTTTGCTTGTTTCTAGGACACATTAAGGGTCAGTTTGGTTGTGGGAATAGTAGTCATTTGAGGTGTAAATGTCTTCTGGCCAAAAGAAATGTGTTCCTGGAAAGGTTTCTTGAAAACAAATTGATCTGTGCAAGCATAATGTCTGTCTAAAGTCTAAACCAGAAAATTGAAAGCAATAGAATGTTCCCAGAATTCTTTCCTTCTCTACCCTCCAATATAATGTCTAGCCAAACACATGGAGAAAAAACTCAGACATTCAAATCAAGAAGAACTGAAGCTGAGAATGGTGAAACAAATCAAGAAACAACTCAGTGATCATCAGATAAGATGTGTTAACATATTAAAGAATTGCAGAGATGAATAAGAAGACTTGAAATGGGATGATGATGAGCAGAGAGGAAGCTAGGTTCTTGAAGATGGTTGATCAATGGTTACACTCTTGAACTTGTCCATTGAAGCTAATGATGATCAAGCTTTCCAGAAGAGATTCTCAGGAGAGACAAAAAAAAAAAGTTTGCAGCTTTCTTTCTGATTGGGAAGTTTGGGTGAAGAAGAACAATAAAAAAAATGCCCTGGTGTACGATAATCATAAAAGAAGAATGAAAAAAAGGAGTGGAAATGGCAGGGGGGTTTGGTCATCCCATAAGAGGAAAATGAAACAAACAGAATTCTTAGTTTGAAGAAAGACATGACTGAGAGTTAGGACATGACACTGATTCTATGATCTTAACATTATAGTACAGATGCCTTTTATTGTTTCAATTTGGCTGATAATTCCTGTTCTCTCCCTCCATTTCCTTTCTTTGTTTATGGTCAACTAATCGTGTTAAAGAGTATCCCACATCAGAAGTTGAAGAGAAAATAAATCGGTATATAAGCTCTTGAGTTGAATTAAGTAATTGATTGAATGGTATTAAGAACTCGTTTTTGAAAGCTTGACAAGTTGACAACAACAATATTATACGGGATAATATTTATACCTGGTATGTAATTTATAAAATATTTTCTTCGTACTATAAAATTTTTTATTCCTACTATTTTAGCGCCAACTTAATTTTTTTTCTTTACTTATTTTCTTTGATCATGATTTATATATAAAAAATGTATATTGTATGCACCACCTAGTGAATTAGTATAAATAAATTGTATTTACAATTAAGGTTCATTATTACTCCCTCCGTCCTAAAACTTTTTTCCCAGAGCACTATTACAACTTCACGGGAATTTATATTTATTTGTGTTTTTGTTGGGAATTAAACACACAACACACAAATATCTGCGAGAAACGAGAGAAAACGGAACACAAACGACACACAAGAATTTAACGTGGTTCGGTTTCCCTAATCCACGGCTGCAACAGGAGGAATTTCTTATTCACCTGTGGTGTCGATTACAAGTACAAGTATGCAATATATATAGGAAGAGCGCAACTAGGGTTACAACAAACGGGCCGGGCCAACAAGTCAAGCCCAAGCCTCCACAAACCCAACATTCTCCCACTTGGAGGCTTGATAGTCATCAACTGCCATCCGCCGCGATTGCTTGTACATCGAGTAATCTTCCTCAGCTCTCCTGTTGCAGCGGCCCTCTCATCAGACAACTGAAAGGCTCGTTGAAGCTCTCCCAAGCTCCAACACATCAGTCATGACTAAATCTGCCACTGACTCGTCCTCGGTCCCTACCAGCTCCCACTGCAAACGCACACTGCCGGATCCTGGAACATCCTGAGAACAAACACTCTCCATACTCAGCAAGAAAATTTCTGGAGATGTTCCAACAGCTGGAATACTGGTTCTCCTGACCCACTGTCTTCTAGGCAACTTGGCTGAAGCGCCTCTTGAGCTCCCACTGCCATAAATACCTCTGACTGGCCTCCTTGAACCTTTCCTTGCTCGTTCATCCCGAGTCTGACCTGTGGCATTAGGTTTCTCTCTTGCATAGACAACCTTATTCTGCCCACAAGACTCTGTGAACCGAACTTTGTTTCTCTTCTGAACTGGGGCGGTCACTCCTTCAGATGGTAACTCGACCAAATACAACGAACCACTCTTCCTTCCGCGGGCCATGACAAGATTTCCCTTCACGACCTTCCACTGCCCATCTCTGAACTTCAACTCGTGTCCCTGTTCGTCCAACTGCCTGACAGAAATCAAACTTTTCTTCAAGGCTGGAACCACTCTAACATCCTTCAAAGTCCAGAAACCGACTGAGGTCTTCAACACCATGTCACCCATGCCCGTCACCTCAAGAGCACTGTCGTCCGCTAGTCGTACCTTTCCAAAGTCCCCAACAACCAGATTCTGCAATGCTTCACCGCTGTGGGTGGCATGAAATGAAGCACCAGAATCCATGACCCAGGAATCCACATTGCTTTCCTCGCAGCAA